CACACAATCACATATAGTGACAGACACTGTAACAAACATAAGCAACACACACAATTACATAGACTGACACACACCATGATCCACATACACAGTTACACACACAATCACACATATAGTGACAGACACCGCGACAAACATACACGCAGCAACACACACAATTACATAGACTGACACACCATGATCCACATACACAGTGACACACACAATCACACATATAGCGACAGACACCACGACAAACATACACACAGTGACACACACAATTACATAGACTGACACACACCATGATCCACATACACAGTGATATACACACACAATCACACATATAGTGACAGACCCCGTAATGCACATACAGTGACACATAAAATAAACATAACAGGAGTTGCTTAGTAACAGGTTTTGCTCAGAAACCGATCACTAATGAATGATTCTAAGCCAAGAATTTACAGACTGAAATGATCTATGATGTACCTTGAGAAACTGAAAATCTACTCCAAATATAGCATGAAGCGGCTCAGTGAAGGTGGCAGTGAAGGTGTGTAAGTGTGTGATGGGCTCACACAGCTCATAAAAGGACAGCCGCCCAGCCTCGTAGTCCAGGTATATCCCTAATCTCTGGCTGGAAGGGCGGTGAGTTAACAGAATTTCCTTACTTTCATGTATCACAGAATATTCATCATGATCCCACCTCCACAAACCCCAGGACTTGTTATTATATCCAATCACTGACTGACGCCCTTTTCTGGCAATTCTAGGATAGGCCATCCCTACGATCCATCTCCCTGATTCACTGCTCTCCACTTCCCAGTAATGTCGCCCCGAGGAGAAGCTCCTGCTGCCTAAAACCTGATTCTTCTCAAATCTATCTGAAGTTTCTGGGCGACTCTGGCTTATTTCTGATCTACATAAAGTTTTGAAATCATCTGATACAGTAACATCATTACTAGCCGTATTTACATCTAGTAAAATGTCTGAAGCCGTGTTTACATCTAGTAACATGTCTGAAGAATCCGGTACATGGAGTTGTCTCTTTACTCCAGTCACAATCCCAGCTAACCCTGAGTGTAAGGTCACTGAGATCAGACCCACATCCAGATTTCCCACAGCACGGACCTTGTTATCATCTCTCTCTCTGTCCTCATTATCTCCCTCCTCAGTATCACAATAGTCATCGCTGTCTGATTCACATCCTTGTAAGACAGTTAATGGGTCCGTCATGTTACATAGCTCCTCGATGTGACCCATCTTCCTGGACAGCTCCTCTTTCTTTATTTCCAGCTGCTGGATTTGATCTGAGACCCGGAGTGAGACTTGCTCTTTTTGCCTTGAGATCTCATTCAGGACTCTCTTCTCTAGCGTTTTTAGTTGTTTCATAATGTCCTTAAGCAGGGCACCAACTTGCTCTGTTACTCCCGCAGCTTTTTCCTGAACTTGTCTCCTGAGCTCCTGCAGGCTTTGAACTCTTTTCTCAGCCTCCTTTTTCTTTGAGGTCAGTTTTTCCATAATATTTCTTAGTTTCTTCTTCTTCTTCTCAGAGGCCTCATTGAGAGTCTCTACTTTGTGTGTCCTGTGCTGTCCATCCAGTCTGCAGGATACACAGATACAGACTGCATCCTTAGAGCAGTAATACTCCAAGACTTTCTTGTGGACGGAGCATTTTCTATTCCTTAGTGAAGTGGTGGGTTCAATTAAAACATGTTCTGGTGACTTACTGTGGACCCTCAGGTGGGTTTCACACAGAGAAGCTTCACAATGAAGACATGTTTTAGCAGCAGGTACAAGAGAGTGAACACAATAAGTACAGGGGATCCCAACCTCCTTCTGCCCTGGGCGAGTAGATAGAAAATTCTCCACTACTATAAAGCCATGTTTACCTTCAGGGCAGGAATATTCTCTGCCACTCTGGTTGTCCAATGTTTTTGTGATGCAGTCTTGGCAGAATCTATGGCCACATATCAAGGTTACAGGTACAGGATCGGTATAAATGTTCAGGCAGATTGAGCAGGTCAGTTCATCTCTCAGATCAACAGACGCCATCACTGAAAGCAGCAAAAAGAGTGAAAACCAAAGTCCTATTACCACTGAAAAGAACTGGGCGTATTTCATGGACTTTGGATTCCAGATTATCAATTGTTGAAGTGGAATCCATGGAAATAATGAGTAAATAACTCCTCAAACCTTCCGCACATTGTACAAACTCCAATGTAGCTAGAGCTGGAATTTCTGTTTGCAGCTCAGGTCAATAATATTTTTTTCTAAAAATCTCTTTTTTTCCCTGAGGTAAAGGTTATTTTATATAAAGATCAGTAATAACAGGAAGTAGGGCACGTTATCTTAACATATAATCAGATTTCAATCTCAAAGAGGATTTCTTTATAGAATGTTTTATAGACAACAGATTCACCACCTGACACATTGGAACCAACGTAATGTAACAATAAATATAAAGACCATATAAGTATCCTCACACATTCATGTCAATACCCACAAACCCAGTCTGTATCCTTGTACACATACACCCTGTTCTAAATTATAACCTAAATAATTGATGTAAATAACGGTCAGCATAATTCTCATGTTATCAACTATTTAAGGACCACTCTAGGCACCCAGACCACTTCAGCTTAATGAAGTGGTCTGGGTGCCAGGTCCAGCTAGGCTTAACCCATTCTTTTATAAACATAGCAGTTTCAGAGAAACTGCTATGTTTATTAATGGGTTAAGCCTTCCCCCTAATCCTCTAGTGGCTGTCTCATTGACAGCCGCTAGAGGCGCTTGCGTGAGTCTCACTGGGAAAATCACAGTGAGAGCACGCAAGCGTCCATAGGAAAGCATTGATAATGCTTTCCTATGCGACCGGCTGAATGCGCGCGCAGCTCTTGACGCGCGTGCGCATTCAGCCGACGGGGAGGAGAGGAGGAGGATCAGTGAAGGAGAGCTCCAGCGCTGGAAAAAGGTAAGTTTTTACCCCTTTCCCCCTTCCAGAACCGGGAGGGAGGGAGTCCCTGAGGGTGGGGGCACCCTCAGGGCACTATAGTGCCAGGAAAACGAGTATGTTTTCCTGGCACTATAGTGGTCCTTTAAGAGTCCAATTCAAATTGTATTGAACAAACCTCCTAATGATAACAGTATTTTTTTAAACATGAAAATTATACCATTCTGTAACTTAAACGAATACCCAGTAGAGCCTGAGTTAATAAAACATGTCACAAATTATTCTATCGCTAAAACATTCAACATTAAGGATGTTACTATAAACATACGAACTTCAACTAGCAAGATTCGATTAAGTGAAGATACAATGTTAAAATCAGAAAAACTGGCCACTGCATAGATGTAGTCTTACAAGAAAATGTGTGGTAGGTCTAAAGAACTTGCATGATTTGGCTATTTCCCTCTGTGGCAAAACACAGGCATTACTGTATATTCATCTAGAAAATCAGCTGTTATGCCGACAGCGCAGCTGCAAAAGGCATCTTAGCAATATTTCTCAATTATAGTTCAGATATTTACAAAGTTAAAACACCTTAGTAAATTACACATTTTTTTCCTTTTTTTAAACCATTAATTATTATATAGAAACTGTATTATAGTACATATTGTCACTGACACATTTCTGATACAGTGAAACAGGTAGGAAGCTTGTTTTAGTAATTTATAATTTTCCTGTCCATAATATGTAGAGTTTAAGGAAAGTAGCATGGCCCTAAATAAGACCAGCATAATAGGTGTAGGCCTCATGATGGAGGCAGCCATGATAGGGGGCAAGGGAAGGAAGTGATGGCGGGGTGAAGGAGGAAATAATGGCCATGATATGTATGGGAAAGGAAGAAACAGGAGATGAGGGCATAGTAAGGGCGGAAGTGACGTTACGTTAGTAGTGGACGCAGGGCAGTCTATAATATGAATAGGACCCCGGCAAAGCCTTTTCTTGGGCCCCCTGGGCCCTGTCACTGCACCCTCCCTCCCCATTACGCCCAACCCGCAATCACACTGACAGACATACTGACACACACACAGACAGACACATTAAAACATTTGCAGATACATACTGACACACATACACTGACACAAAAATATATACTGGCAAACATTGACACACATTCAGACATACTGATACACACACAGACACATACATACTCACAGACACATACACTGACAGATATATTGACACAGACACACACAGACACATACACTGACAGGAGTTTTGACATACACAGAGATACTGACATACACACACACACACTGGAACACAGTGAGACATACTGACATACACACACAGACATACTGACATACAAACACACAGACATACACACAGTACTTCTGTGTGTGTTAGTATGTCTGTGTGGTGTGTTAGTATGTCTGTGTGTATGCCAGTATGTCTGTGTGTGTTAGTATGTCTGTGTGTGTTAGTATGTCTGTGTGGTGTGTTAGTATGTCTGTGTGGTGTGTTAGTATTTCTGTGTGTGTATGTCAGTATGTCTGTGTGTGTATGTCAGTATGTTTGTGTGTGTATGTTTGTGTGTGTGTATGTCAGTATGTGTGTGTGTATGTCAGTGTGTGTGTATGTCTGTGTGTGTATGTGTCAGTATGTCTGTGTGTGTATGTCAGTGTGTCTGTGTGTGTATGTCAGTATGTCTGTCATAGACACACAGACATACTGACATACATACACAAACAGACATACTGACACAGACATACTAACACACACACACAGACATACTAACACACACACACACACACACACTGTATGAAAACCAACCTCGCCACTGTGAACTGAGAAGCCTGGTTGCTCGCCTGCTCCCTTTGACTAAGTGGGCCCCCTGCAGGTTAAACCGCCATTTCCCCTGCAGAAAGAAAGCTTATTTGCAGGATCTGAGTGCCATCCACACACAGCACCTCAGATCCCAGCCATCTGGGATATGTGAAACGTCCGTGTGTTATGTGCAAAATGTGACCTCATGTATCTCCCAAAGCAAGTTTTGTGTCTTTGCAACCATGTGTGCTTCAATGGAGCCTCATCCCAGAGACACCAATCACTATCCCTGGTGACAGAACTCCCTGAAACTGCCTAGCCAGAAAAGCCATGCCTACTAGTCACAAAGGACTTTTTACTAACTTTTGAACCCCTGGTCTGATTCATGCCATTTTTTAATATGTTGTTCCCCTGAATGGATTGGTTGTGAATATGTAATTTTATGTGAATGTGATGTATGGTTTTAGAGTTATGAAAGTTGGGTAGAAAGTATGTTTTAACTGTATGTATAATTGAGTTTCCTCAGGATAAGGGGAGGGAATATGTGGGATGTAACTGTGATGTGATTGGTTGTTTTATACCTCCCTGTGGGCTGTACTATGTTTGTGGATTGGGAATAAAAGAGACTGTATGTGACAGTACAGGAGTTCCTGTTTTAACCCTCAAAGTGAAGTGTCGTCTCATTATTGGGGGAAGGATTTATTGTATGCTGTTCCAGTTTGACTGCTAGGAGAGTAAACCTATTCGTATGGTTCCTATTCAACTGTCTACAGCATTCATATGCTTGAGAGGATTCATATGTGTAACGGACCGTTTCTCTCACAAGGGGATAAAATCGGTTTAGGCGATAATCCCCTTTCCCATAGACCAGCAGCTATTGCAATCACCAACTTCCCGAACTCCAAACTGTACGAATCCCCAACTCACGAACAAGAAATACACGAACTCTGGAAGCAGCCGAACAGGAAAAGCAATACGAATGGCTTACACTCCTGGCAGTCAGCACACAATCCAATTCCCCCAATAACGAGACGACACTTCGTTTTGAGGGTTAAGCAGAATCTAAGGATTTATTCACACAGCCTCCTTTTAAGACATTCTCCCATGCAAGGGAGGGATCCACAACAATTAGTACCCCAGCCAATAAGGTACCAGTTACCTCCCACACATCTCCTCCCCTTAGTGTGACACATAATCCCATTAGTACAGACACAAATTCCCTGGGTTACTGGATGTACCCCTAAACATAGGGTTACCCCTTTAAATGTTACATTCCCTGGTAGCCCTGATCTGGGTGAGACACATCCAAAAATCACCCAGATCGGACCAGGGGTTCAGGAATTATGGAGGGTTAAAGTTTTGACCAACTGCATGGCAAAAGTATCCGAAAATAGTTCCATGTATTTTGGCCCTGCAGTCGGTCACAGAAAAGGGAATGGAAACACACGAATTGCCTGGGTTATAGAGCCTGGGGAGGGTTTAAACGAATTCCCTTGTTCGTGGAGTTCTTTCTACCGAACGGCGGGTCATTCGGTAGTTTCCACACGAATTCATGGAAGTCTGGAGGTCTCAGCGGTGTTTGCCTAGTCGAGTGTCCGATTTTAGTTCCAGACACTCGACGGCAAAACACCGCTGTTCGGGAGTTTAAGATGGCCGCCGCCATGTGTTCGTTTCCCGAATGGCGGCCACCCAGAGGACACAACACACATTACACATATTGCCAATTACCCGTTTGCAACATTGTTGCAAACGGTAATTGGAGGCACACTTACTCCCGGGTGGTCTGGTTGTTCGGTAGTTTCACCCAATATAATGAATGAAGTGATTCTACCGAACAATCAGGGGAATGCTGCATTCACATAACACTTTACACCGAACACATAATATTAAATACAGCCTGAATGCAATTTGCTACACAGTCTTAAAAAAAGGCATTATTCCTAACAGGCAGAATATGTTCACGGAGGGCCCTTAAAGGGCCAGTAGCAGCAATATAAGAATGTCACATGCCCAAATATTGCATACAAAAGTACGACTTCACAAGGGGGGCCATAGTCAGATGGCAGGAGGCTGGCAACCAGGCTTCTCCAGTGCATAGTGGCGAGGTTGGTTTCGCCACACTTCTCCCCTTTACCAATCAGACTAACAGGGTATCTGACCTCCTGCCGGTCAGTGCCCTTGTTAGTCCAGCAGCCCACCCACAAAACACAATCCGTAACACAGCCCACCCACAATAACTGGCTACTACACCAGGGTAGAGTAGAACTTTGTCCGTGTCCAGGT